GAATTACCTATATAAGCATCTTTCATGGTTATTTAAAAGCCACATATTAGGTGAAGCTACAAGCTTCCTGTAGTGTAGTCTTGACAAGATAACCCAATTAATAAAATACAAACTAGCAGCCAGAATTAATTTTTCAAAATTTAATATTTTCTTGAAATCCCCACTGTTTTATAATCTCAAACAGTTCTATTTCTAGCCAAAGCAATTCTTACTTTTCTTTTACCACATCATACTTTTAATATGTCTCACCTCCTGCAGCTGCCTCAAAGTTTTTCTCTCTATAACTCAGTCTCTACCTAAAACTCACCTGGCAAACCAGATCTTCAAGGTGCTCCTCATGTCTCTCATCTACTTTTTTTCCTACCTCCATTCTTTCCTTCTCTCTTCTGTCAGTCTTGGCCCTTTCTAATGCAAAGCCCCCACCTGCTTTATAGTTAGTATATAAGTCCTCATCACAAAAACGTATGTTGAAATATGTGGAGTTGACATCCACAAATTGTCCAACTGGAGTTGACAAACTATCTTAGAGATGGGGAGTGGAGTGATGTGGGAGAAGAGAAAAAGAAGGGCTCTGGATTCTCATATGTGTTCATAATTTTTATGTGTCATATACGCGGTCTGACAATTAAGTTCGTGAATTCATCCTAGAAAAAAGTGCTACACATCTCATTGCTGAATATCACTGTGGTCACCTTCAAAGTACTCCCCTTGAGAAGCTATGAATCGATGCAATGCCTAGTCTACCCTTCAAAGCAATTTGGGGAATCTTTTCCTGGAATAGTCATCAAAGTTGTCATATATTATCCTTGATGTCCTGAATGTCATTAAAATATATTCCTTACACAATTTCCTTTTTCTTTGGGTAAAGAAAAAGTCCCTGGGAGCCATACCAGGTGAGTAGGGATGGTGTTCCAATACAGTTTTTTGTTTACTGGCTAAAACCCCCCTTATAGACAGTGCTGCAAAAGCTGGTGCACTGTTGGATGTAAGAGCTCATTTTTGCACCTACCTTTCTCATGCCAAGATTTTCAGTTAAGATATTCCTGTTTCTCTATGAATGTTTATTTGGTCTGCTATACCTCTCACAGTCAGTCAATGATTTTGATGCACAATTTGACAAAACTTTGTAATATTTTCATCAGTTCTGCTCAATACTGACCACTCTGACCTCTCTGCATCAGTGACACTTTCTGTTACATCAGAAAAACATTTAATCCTTTTGTATACTGCTGGGTTTTTTTCATGACATTATCCCCATAAACTTGGACTAACATGTGCCTGATTTCACTTCCACTCTTGCCAAGTTAAACAAGAAATCTAATGTTGGTTTGTTACTCTAATTTAAGCTCCAACTTTCTCACAATGGCACACAAAAATGTTCGACAATAATGGACACCACTCATCAAGACACCACCACATATCCACATAAACACAGCTGTGAGACACTGATATACCAAGGTTATGAAACCTTACCAAGTTGTTTTTACCATGTTGGCAATGTAAGCTCATGATGGCAAGTTCTCAATCTTAATTGTCAGTATTTCACATAGAAACCCAAGAATATATGGAGAGTAGTGGACCAGAAAGACAGATGAGCGACTGGTGAGAGACAGCTCTCAAAAGAATGTGTTAGCTTTGCAAAAAAAAAAAAAACATAATAAAAAGAAACACTTAAAAAGTTAGGGCATCCAGTGAAAGAAGTGATAAAAACTACCTTTGATAAAAAAGTGAAGCTTAAAGTTGGAACTAGAAGAGTAGGATTTTCAAATTTGGTTTCAGAGAATGGAAAAATAAGCAGCTGTGATGTCTTAAGGCTGAAAGATCACAGTTGCTATTTGAACTTGAGAGTAGAGGAGACATCTGGAACCTGGCTAAAAAAGACAGACCTAAAGTACGTTACAAAGCACATGTTTGTAGGAGGAAAAAAAACAGAGAATTCTCTGAAATTCTGGAGATGAGACGAGAATGTGAGTAGCTGACACATTTTAGGGGTAAACATTAAAACTGAGCTTGTTTGATGTTATGTTAGTTAGGGGCTAATAACTAAGCTACATACATATAAAACTCATGACTAGCTTGCCCCCCTAAAACCATGCACTGTAATGAACTGGCTTTTGCACTTTAAATTATTGATAATGTAATGATTTAGGTGATTCAGCTTGGAAAAAGATGAGGCAACCTTAGAAACAATCTTGTGATTCAAGGAGGGGGGCAGCCATAAACCTCAAGCGGCAATTGTGAGGATTCAATTTGTCAGAGATTAAGGTACATTGTCTTCTTTTTGCGGTCTTCACTAAGATTGGATCTCAAAGAATCTGTCACCGAACATGAAAAACTTTGGAGGGTAAACCTGAATTTTATTATCCCTAATCTTTCAATTACAATGGAGTTATTTCCTTTAACAAAGAATCCTTAGTATTCATAAATGTTCCTCACAGGGTGGGTGGAGAGAGAGAGATTTTATCCTAGCAAAACAGAATGAAGCACCAGACTCCACAGGTTACTGGTTACTATTGTTTGAAATACATCAGTATTGAAAAGGACAGACTTCCACACCCAACCCCACCCTGTCACTGTCCCAGCCCAACAGTCAGTGGTCCTGGGGTGGTAGCTCTTCTACAATCTGCTGCTCTGAGAATCAATCCTATTTTCTGCATAGAAGACTCTTGGGTACTCAAGCCACTGAGACATATCTGATAGGAAAGGTTGTCTGATTGGCCAAAAAAGAAAAAAAAGCACTCTTGCTTTCTCTACTAAATAACTAGTCATCCATCTGAAATCCTCCTGTAAGTAAAGAACTGGCACTTGTTGGCCTGAGGCTAGAGTGGAAGTACATGCTTGGGAAAACCGGTCTGAGGATACCTCACAGCTGAAGAGCCAAGTGAATAAGGAGGAGCTGTTATTACTCCCCTTGGGATGTGTCCACAGAGCCGGCAGCACCTAGCTCAGTGCCTTGAGTCTACCTCAACCGCCACTCATGAAAAGCCTATTGAATTAGTTAATTATCAAGATAATACCTCAGAAAAGGAGAAAGGAGTAGCCTTTTATCCTTGCTGCACTTCTGATCAATGATATCCTGCCTAAAAGAGGATTAGGGCACAGGTTTGGATTAACTGCAGGGGCAGGTTACAATAAGAGCATTAAGGAAACAGAACTCACGTTGTCACTGGACATCTCTATCCCACAGAGCCCTTGGAAAAATGCCAAAGCTGCACCAGGCATATGCCTGATTGCTCTAGGATTGATAGCTCAGCCCTACCAGGCAGTGCTAAATTATAGCCAGCAGAGAAAGTGAAGTCCTTTCTCCCCCACAACCTGTCATCAGTTCATCAGGGTAGTGAGCAGAACACTGCAGCTCTGTCTGTGGACCAAACCCAGAAGACCCGCCGTCAAGGCCAGGAGAGTAGATCAGAGAAGGAATTGGAAAGGCAAACACATGTCCATGGCAACTCCCTTCTCTGTGGAACTTTGCCCACGTCTGACCCCAAATATAGGGTGCCCACAACTTCTATCCTGAAGCAGGCCCTGCCATAGCACAGGCAGATCCAGGAGTGAGGGAAAACTGCCCACCCAGAGTAGATCGTCTCTGGAAGGAATGACTATTTGGGAAAAGTCCCAGTGCTAGCTCAGTGCCAAGCCTTCCCCACCTTCTCTGGCCCACTGCCACCAGTTCCTCCCCTCTCAGCTGCTCTGGTTCTTATAAAAACCTCACAGCCTTCCACCAACAGTGCGCAGGAGCCTCTCCCTAGACTGCTGCTCCTCGGGACACTGAGACTGACCAGCAGGACGCACGAGAGACCATGAAGATCCTGCTCCTTCTCACCCTCCTGGCTGCCTTAGCGGTGGCAGTGTTGTGTTATGGTGAGAAACTTTTCCCTGCATCCCGTGTCTCTGCATTTTCTTTTCTGCCCCTGACTTCAGTTGACTTCAGTTTTTCTATTCCCTCCTCCCCTCCTTCCCCCTTTATCTATTATAATCTTAAAATACCATTAAGTTCACATTTTGTGGTCTCCATGGACACTGATCTGTTTCATAAAGTATTTTTTGTATCCTAAATATCCTGATTTTTGTAGCAACTTAACAGGCAAATGTTTTCAGTGATAAGTCTCTATATACCTAGAAACACAGGTATTTCAGAAACAAGGTATCAAGTTCCCGGCCCTTGCATTCTCATTTTAAGGATATTTATTTAGACTTTGGAATCAAGGGTTAAGTCTTGAATCACTTTAAGAAAACTAGTTTTGATGTGAAGAATTAAGTATTGTCCTTTCTAGGGATAGGGCAATGTCATGAAATTACATTTTTTAATAGATTAATTTTAAAATAAAGGTTTACATTTAAGGAATTTCAGGGGGAAAATCAATTGCATAACTTCTATTGTCAGAAAATAAATTTTGCCTAGGTTCTATGGGCTAATATGTGTTCGTTCAAAGCTTCTGAAACAGGATTTGAAGCAAAATGATTTACTTAATTCAGCCTTATGCTTCAATTACCTGGCTATTTTAGCTGTTTTCTTATCTGGCTATTTTAGCTATTTTTAAGCATAAATTACATTTACAGCCCTGAAGATTATGCTTCTAACTACTAAATTTAATCACAAGAGGATTTGATTTCTTCACTCCCTTTCTAACTTTTCAAGAAAATTCACTTGCTTACAAATATAAGCCTCTTATTGCAAAATTTACCTGCTGCACTTAAGAGAGAGGGAGGAAGGACCCGTTTGCCTGGACATCATTTCAGTTCTCTCTCTGAACTGACTGTCACGGTGCCTCCTGTGAGTTGCCGGCTGGAGCCAGTGGTTTCTGTTGCTACCAATTTACAGGGTTCTTAAGAGGCTTCCAGAACCTCCCAAGAAATCTGTCCTAGTAAAACCCATCAGAGCAACCTGGCTGTTTTCTGGACACCCCCATCCTCACCCCCTGTATCTTCTTTGACTCTGTTCTCAAGTATGCCCTAAGTAAATGAGAGAGAAAGGCTCCTTGGAAACTTCTGTGCACTACTTAACATGTCTCATTTCACTTGTCCGAATACCTCCTAGCCTTTGGGAAACCTTAGTTAAGACTGATCTCCTTCAACAACCAAGAAATAAAATTGTAGAGCTAGCCACAGCAAGGACAGAGCTACACTTTGTAAATCCCAAATTTTTGAAATTTGTAATGACCAAATTGCCAAATACGTTCTGCACATCCTTTTTACTCTTCCTTCTCCTTCTATTCCTATTAGACTATTGCAGTATGTGATAAGTAACGCTATAATAAATATTTTTTTTTAAATTCCAGAATCTCACGAAAGCATGGAATCCTATGAAATTAGTAAGTGAATATTTGACTTCCTTCTTTAAATCTCTTGCATTAAAGAATCTTTCTCTATTTTTAAATAAACAAAATGGTAAGACATATATAACAGAGAGAAAAAAAAGAGAGAGCCTCTTTTGGAAAACAAAAGTAATTTTTAAAATCCAATGACTATAAAAATCACCAAATGAGTGATTTTTTTAAGCTTGTAGTAGTGTGATATGACATTTAAACTACATTCAACATACTTAGAAGTCATAAAATCTCCTTTGGGAATTTTGAGTTGGCATCACGTCAACCGCACAGATGGAAAATGAGGAGTTATGGCAAATGGCAAAGTACAAAATTGGAGGCCGAATCAGCTGGGAGCCCACAGGCGTCAGCGCTGAGCTGAATGATGCAGCGGGGCCGGACTTAGAAAGACTGAGTATAGGAAGAAACAGGGTAGCACTCGTTTTTAATTTCTTCATTATTTTTTGTAATGTTTAAACTATTCATTTGCTGGCAATCTAAAATTATGCTCTATGAGTCCACAGACAGAATTTCTCCTCGTAAGGAATTAAAAACAGAGAGAATAGGAGTGCCAAAGATTATTACCAAGGAATACCAAGGCAAAGTGATCCAGCTGAGACAAAACAAACACACATTTCTGGGCCTCAGTAACAAGTCTCTGAGACGCAGAGATGGGTTATTGGTCTGTCTTGACTAGGCAGTTTATGAAATTGACTGTACTCCTTTGAGTTTCACCAATCCCTGGTTACATGAAATGCAGGAATTAAGGGGCTTTCTCATGTACTGGGGAATACTCGTGGAAATATTTTCAGCTACGGTTTCCCTAAAACTGTATTTATCTATTTTCTGTTTTAAGATCCCTTCCTTAACAGGAGAAACGCAAATACCTTTATATCCCAGCATCAGAGATGGAGAGCTAAAGCCCAGGAGAGGTGAGTAACCAGACTTCACGAGGGCAGCTCGTTTTCCCCAGGGAGATCTGCTTGGAGAGAAAAACAGGTGTTTCTTCTTACACATTATTTCTAATTGTATCTTAAAAATCAAAGAATTTAACAACTACAGAAAACTGGATTTTTAGACTGTTTTGAGAAAGCCTCAAGAGAGGGAAAGAGGAGAGGAAAAGGGTAAAAAAAAAAAATCTATTTTAATTTTTTAAAAAAACTCCCTGTTTTGCCTTCGTTTTCTGTTCTTCAAATATCTCTTAATATTGGGAGGAGCGGACAGGAACCTCTCTCCAGTTATTTTCTTATGTTTTCCTTTTTTCTCATTTCTCCACTCTCTTTATCCTTTTCAATTTTGGCCTCTTTTCTTACTTTTTAGAGTCCGAGAGCGCACCAAGCCCGCCTACGAGATCAATCGGGAAGCCTGCGACGACTACAAGCTTTGCGAACGCTACGCCCTGCTTTACGGGTACAACGCTGCCTACAACCGCTACTTCAGGCAGCGCCGAGGGGCCAAGTGAGACAGGAAAAAAATTCTCTTTTCTTCTGGAGGCTCGTGCCTGGTTGTGTACCCCCTTGCAGTAGCATTATTGAAATATATAGACTCATCTACAATGCTTGTTTCCTGTATATTCTCTGGCTGGCTGCGCTCTTCCCTGCCCCAGATAGATGAGTAATCCAAGTGCCGTGAAGGTCACAGGGAAGTGGAGATGTATGATTATTACATAATAAATGTGTGGTTCGATCCTCTCATTGTAAGAATCTTATTTCTTCTGGGAAAATGCTGAGATATTTTCCACCTAACCCAGTCCACCTAACCCAGAACAGGAGATTCTGTTAGTCTCACGCCTGGTGTTGATTAGATAAATTACATAGGAAAAAATGAAGTTTAGAAGACATTCACCCAATCATAATTGTCTAGACTCACTCTCCCTTGGTATCCGTGAATGACTGCTTCCCGTTTATGTGTTTTCCAGGATTTTCTAAGTGTAAATTGTGGCCTATTTGCCCACTTCACTTGTTTCCCATCCTTCTCTCTTTTTTTAAGTTCAGAGGGAACAAAACATACATATGTGAGTCCAGGTGAATCAGAAATGTTTCCTAAATAAGAAAAAGTTTAAATCACTGTACTAATAATAAGTTATTTTCAAAGAACAGCCCAACAATATACTAAGAAAGGAGCAACCACATATATAATTCAAGCATAATATAATCTTCAACATACATATTTCTAACATATGGGACAGACAGACTGGGTATAGATTCCGGCTCTTACTGTGTTTGTTTGGCAAGTACTAAACATCTCTGTGCCCCAGTATACACATGTACAAACTGCAGAAAGTAGCTAACTTGTAGGGTTATACCCCTACACTCCAGTCTGGGCAACAGAATAGGACCTCATCTCAAAATAAATGAATAGATAAAGGAATGAAATGAGGTTGGCATTTGTTCAATGTTTAGAACAACACCAGACACATGATAAATGATCCACAAGTAACAAATAAAAGCAGCTCACCTAATGGGACAGATTTGGACTAATCAGCAGGTATAAGGAGCCATGGAAGCCTCCAGGTTTACCTTTTACCTCATACAAAAAGAATCCTCCAAAAAAATCCTTCATACACAGTGAGGAAGGGGAAACTTCCTCCCTGTACTTTCTAACAAATAAGTTCAAGTCTGCTTCCATATGGCAACTCATCACCTAGTATTTTGGGGGGAGATTATATTCACATCTTTTTTTTTTTTCCGAATGTTACAGGAGTACAAATGTTTTGGTTGCATGAATTGCTTTTGTACAGTTTGAGTCAAAGTTATGAGTGTGCCCCTCACCCAGATAGGGTGCATTGTACCTGTTAGGCGTGAATTTATCCTGCCCTCCTACCCACGCCCACCTGCTTCCTTTCTATTGAATTTTGCTACTCTTACAAACGTTGGCCCAGGCAAAATACCTTTGAAAAGAACCAGAGGTAATCGTGGCAACAACAAAAATTAACTACAGGAGTATGATTAAATCAAAAAGCTTCTACACAGTCAAGGACACATCAATAGGGTGAATAAACCATCTATAGAATGGAAGAAAATATTTGCATGCTATATATCCCACAAAGAGCTGATAACCAGAATCTATAAAGAACTCAAGAAAACCAGTAAGAAAAATATCAAACAAACTCATAAAAAAGTGGTCAAAAGACTACAGAAACTTTTCAAAGGAAGATAGACTAATAGTCCATAAACATAAGAAAAAATGCTCGGTATGTCTAGTTATCAGGCTATGCAAACCAAAGCCAAAATGAAGTATCATCTAAGTGAGAATGGCTTTTATCAAAAAATCCCAAAACAACAGAGGGTGGCATGGATGCAGAGAGAAAGGAACTGTTACATGGTGTTGGTGGGACTGCAAACTAGTACACCTTCTATTGAAAATGATATGGAGACACCTCAAAGAACTAAAAGTAGACTTATGATCCAGCAATCCCACTACTGGGTATTTTCTCAAAGGAAAAAAAAAACTAATTTTGTCAAAAGGGCTTGTTCACTACAATGTTTATTGTAGCACAATTCACAATCACAAAAACTGCAGAACTAACTCAAGTGCCCATCAATACAGGAGTGGATTAATAAAATGTGATGTACGTATACCATTACTCAGCCATAAAAGAAAAGGTGAACTAATACCTTTTGCTGCAATCTTCTAAGAGACCATTCTTCTAAGAGAAGTATTGTAAGAATGAAAAAAACAAACACCACATGTACTCATTACTAAATTGGAACATATCAATCAACACTCATGGTCACATTTGGTAGTATTTCTCAATTTTTACGCATCAAGATAAAAAAAAAATTCTGAATTAAGGTAATCCAGAAGAAGGCAACAAAAGAGGCAAATGGGAAGAAATAACAAGGAACAAATGGAAAACAAATGGCAGGATGTTAGAATTAAATTATCAATAATAGTTTATAGACTTAACTATATCAATAATCACAGTATATGTAAATAATCCAATTATTTTTTTATTTCCACATATGTCATAAATTCCAATGCACATTTTTGTTATGCTTGCTTTAAATGGTTAATTTTTTAAAGTTTGGATAACAAGAAAGTACCTCATATATTTACCCATGTAGTTTCTATTTCCAGCATTCTTCATTCTTTCCATCTGGTATCATTTCCCTTCTGCCTTAGGACTTTCTTTAATATTTCTTGTAGTGTAAGTCTGCTGAAATTTTGCATGTTTGTCTTCTTTCTGAGAAATATTGTCATTGTATATTGAATTTCAAATTGCCAAATATATATATATATGTGTGTGTGTGTGTGTGTGTATACATTCTATATATACTGTGTCTTTTATCTCTGGCTACTACTAAACTTTTTATTTCTCTCATTGGTTTTGACAAAATTGATTATAATGAAAGTTAATTTGATTTTTCTCATTTTTCTTATAGTTGGAATTTATTAATCTTCATGGACTGCATTAAATTTAGAAAATTTTCAGCCATCATTTCTTCAAATATTTTTTCTCCTTCATTCCTCCCCTCCTTTGGAGACTCCAGTGACATGCTTATTCTGCCACTTGGAGTAATCCCACAACTACATGATGTTGTTTTCATTGTTATAAATTACTTATCTCCATATGTTTCATTTTTGACACCTTCTATTAATATATTATCAGGTTCATTAACCTATTCTTCAGCAATATTTAATCTGCTATTAATCTCATCTAGTGTATTTTTCATCTCTGACATTGTAGTTTTAATCACTAGAAGTGTGATTTCAATGTCTTCATATCTTTCATGTCTCTACTCATCTTTTTTAATGTCTTTGATAGGTCTAATAACTATTTCAGTTTTCCTACCTGTTAATTCTAATATTTGTGTCAGTTACAGGCTGATTTTGATTGGTTGATCATTCTGTTTGCATGGGCCATAATTTTCTGCTTTTCTGCCTACATAACTATCTTTTATTTGCTGCCAGACATTATTTGTTACCAGACTTTCTTTCTGTGTGCTGAATATTCCTGTATCTCTTGAGCTTTGTTCTAGGATGCAGTTGAATCATTTGGCTAAGCTTGACCTTTTAAGTCTTATTTTTAAAGTGGGACAAGAGCAGTATTTAACTTAGAGCTAATTAATTTCCCAACACTGAAAAAATACCTTTCTGAGACATGTCCCATGACTGGATGGTAAGAATAGGCAATAATCGCAGCCCCAAGTTAGCACCACGCATTTTTACCTTGGTTCTTCTTGGATGGTTATTTTCCCACATGCCAATCAGTCTTCTGCATATACATGAAAATGCCCTCCACTGATATCCAGAGTTCCCTCTCCCTACAACTCTCTATGCTGCACTATTTTGCCATGTGAAATATAGTCACTGTGTTTTTCTAGGATTCTCAATTTCATCTCAACTCAAAATGTCCACTGAACTCCCTGAGTCATGGCCTGTAAACTCCCTTAAGGCCCTATTAGGCCGGGGCAGTTTTAGGACCCATTTTTTTATTAACCATGTCATAAGGGTCACCATCTTTAATTGACTTCTGTCCAGTTTTCTTAAACTATTTTTTTTTCATGTGTATTGTTTGTTTCTTTAGTTCTTTCTAAAGTAAGGATAAGTCCTTTCCCTGAGATTTTATCTCGGCTACAAGTCCATTAACTCAGGCGAGACTACTTTAAATGGTCATTCCAGACAGAGAGTTGCCCCATAAAATTGATTGTGACATTTATTGCAAATTCATCTCAGTTCAAATGCTCACCCTGTTTAGCCCTAGTTCCTTCACTCTCTCATATATTGTTCCCCCATAAACCACCAGCACGCAGATCTCTGAGTCTTAGAGTCTGCTGCCCAGACCCTGAACGATAGTCATTCAGGTTGTAAATAGTGAATAGGAGGACCAGTTTAGCACAAACAAATTAAAGCACTTTACTTTCCCTTCGGTAATGGGGTTCCTTTGTCCAGGATGTGCTATGCATCCTAAATAACCAAGCATTGTATAGTGCTATGTCCCCAACAGGTAGACTACATGGGTCCAATAAGTACAGATGGAAGCAGGAGTGACTCTACTCACTAGGATTCCCACGTGAGGAGCTGATATTTTAAATCTCTATAATTCTAATTTCTGGGCCTAGAGTTCCTGGGACATATAGAAGGAATACTTTCACCATGACACACAGGAAACTCTAGAAGCTATCCAGTAACTTCAGGCTCTTCATGCTAGGAGACCAGCTAGTAAACAAAGGAGTCATCTTTCTAACAGGGGTGATTGACCATGCTCATCAGGAGAAGGTAGGGCTGCCATTACTTAGTCAAAGCAGGAAAATGAAAACGCTGTGATACCCAGTTAATCCACATGTCTTGATGTTTCCCTGCCCGATCATGATAGTAAATAGACAAGCACTGAGATGGGCCTGGTGCAGGAGCTCATAACTCTCTCCCTTACCAAATTAGACACTAAGACCACCAGTTGTGCTAACTATAGGTGAGGGAAAACTAGAATAAGTAGTTTTTAAGACAGAGTTTATAAGTAGCATTAGCCATGGCCTTGTAACTGTCTCCAGCAATAGGTACTGTAGTTTGTCCCACCAGCCTTCACAGGGTTCTGGCTTATTCCTAGGCATGAACTAGACCTCAAATGTGAGAATATAACAAAAGAGAAACTATAGAGCTGAGAAAGAAGACATCGTTGTTGCACCAAAACTGGCCAATACATTTCCATAAAATAACAATAGCATACAGGAAAATGTGATTAGAACTTCTC